GCCCGCAGCTCACACACACCAGGGGCCCACAGCTCACACATACATACACACCAGGGGCCCGCAGCTCACACACACACACACACCAGGGGCCCGCAGCTCACACACACACACACACCAGGGGCCCGCAGCTCACACACACACACACACACATACACACCAGGGGCCCGCAGCTCACACACACACACACACCAGGGGCCCGCAGCTCACACACACATACACACCAGGGGCCCCCAGTAGCGGGATTTTTATGAGGGTGCGACAGTCTCTGCAGTAATTGGGGCTTCAGGGCCTTGCTGAAGTGCCCAATGATGAAATCATTCTGCCAGTGCTGGGATTTGAATCAATAACCTTCTGATCACAGATACAGAATCCTAACCTGCTGAGCCACAAACCACCCCCAGACCAGCTGACATCTACATGCCCCACGGACACTATCAGGGCGCTGGGCCCTACCTGCGACTGGAGCTGTGGTTCAAGTGGGTGCTCGCAAGGCTCTGGTTCCGCCGGCCCACCTTCAGAACTTTCCAGGCCTCCTCGGCGCTGCGGACCTGCACCCAGGTCAAATCTGAGGGAAAATGGGGATGTCACGCCGGTGCAGGGTGGGGGCGCGGCCCCGGAGGACACGAGGGCATCCCTGATGACCTCACCTTTCACGTAGGGGTTGCCGTTTCTGTCGTCACACAGCCGCAGCGTGGCCCTCTTCCGGGGCGACGGCGCCCCCAGCAGGTCGTACAGGAACTCGTTGTAGATCTCGAAGAAGGACACCCAGATGGAAAAGCGCATGCCTTCCGGAAGGCCCTCCCCACCGCTGCCAGACAGGCTGTTGGCATCCAAGAACAGACTGGCCGAGTCTGGGGATGGGGGAGAGAGGCGCCGGTCATCGGTGCAGCCGAGAACCCGACAGGTGACGAATCGTACTGCAGGGTCCCCCCCCCCTCACCCTCTGCCATGGACAGGCCTCCGATGCCGCTGTCACAGCTGGTGCTGGTGTCGCCCCGCAGCCGGGAATTATGGGAAACGGGGGATTCCTCCTGGGGGGGGGGCAAATGAACACACGTTTATTTTCAATACCTGCACCAGAATCCTCACCTAAAATCTGGGGGTCTCGATACGGTACCACCCCTATCAAACGCATCACACTGCACACAGACAACCGGGCTCAGGTAATATTCTGGTCCATCATCCATTATCGTAACCGCTTCTTCCCCACCGGGGTTGCGGGGGGGTCCGGAGCCCCTGGGAACGACGGGCGCAGGCGGGAACCAACCCAGGGCAGGCGCCAAAACACTCACACAACTACAGGGCCAATTTAGACATGCCAATCAGCCCACCCTGGATTGTGGGAGGAACCCGGAGTCTCCGGTGAAAACACGGGGAGAGCGTGCGAACTCCACACAGAAAGGACCCGGGATCGAACCACTGCGCCACCGTGCTGCCCACGTGTTCAGGTCCTTTTTAACATTTCTTTAGTAGGCACCCTGGATTAACTGAGATTAAGGGCCTCGCTCAAGGGCCCAGTGGTGAAATCACTCTACCAACCACAGGATTTGAACTAGTGACCTTCTGATTACAAGTACAGTATTCTGACCAACACATCGCCCCCTGGTGGACGTTGTGCTGGTGGTCCAGCAGAGTGACAGGGTAACTGCGCCAGGGTGGGCGGGGCCACACTAAGAAAGGGGCTGTTAGTACTGCTGTCTTAGCCAATCAGGTCATCCCAAAGGTTTCCCAATAAGGCGGTTTGTGTTGAGTCAGCAGGAGAATGACCACGCGCCGCTTAGCTGGGCATCACAGGCAGCCAGTAAGGGTAAAGTCATTGAACCTATAAGCCCCACCCACGGCCTTTGCCCCGCCCACCTCGCCAAGCAGGGCGTCCCTGCGGATCTCTTCGGCCCGGACCTCGCTGCGGCTCAGCCACCGCACCTCCCGGCACAGAACAGGCTTCAGGTCTGGGGTGGGGTACAGGCGAGTCCCCAGCTTCTGGAAGAAGGCCACCAGCGTCCGGGGGAGCAGCCCCGCCTCCCGGCCGGTACCTGAGAAATGCATGGGGGGGGGGGGTTTATGGTCGACACAGCAGGGAATGTAAACACCTAAGGATAGAGGCTCCCCGGAGACTCGTCAGTCTGGAGGAGACCCAACGGCCCATAAACCCCAAATGAGTCATGGTCAGGTTCCTCTCCTCTGCACCCTGCAACCCCTAATGAGTCATGGTCAGGTTCCTCTCCTCTGCACGCTGCAACCCCTAATGAGTCATAGCCAGGTTCCTCTCCTCTGCACCCTGCAGTGACCTCTGCTTTTGACTGGGCGCCAAAAGGACTCTGGAGAAATCAGGCAAATAAGAAGTCTGCCTTCCTCCAACACTGCAACACCACTGCAACATCACTGCATGAAGTCTGCAGGCCATAAGGTGCACAGTAGCAGCAAAAGACGGCGCACCCCTGCCTTCAATGCATCAGTCCCTTTTCTAGCTGTTAGTCACCTTATAGTAAAAGGCCTCGAGGCAATGAAGTTACATCTCAGTGACCCAGAGAAGCGTCTTTAGACTTGTGAGCAGTACTGTATGTGTCTGTCTGCAAGCGGGCTGCATGGAGGACAAGAAACTGGCTGTTCCGGAAAATCGGAAAGACGCATAGAACAGCTTTGTTGCTTAATTGAGTTTTCATGCCATGCAAGCAGATTCAGGACTACATTCAGGGCAAAACCCAAACTGTAATAACTTATTAAAATAAACAACATGAGAAGGTTAAGAAAGACCTTTAAAGCCCAATCAGCAACCTAAAAGTTATAAAACTCTTGTTAAAAAAATTCTGGAACTGCCTCTGGTTTAACCATAGTAATCTTGCTTAGTAATGACTGGGAAAAACATCTGCCTGGTAGCATTGGGTGGGGGGACCGGGGGGGGCACAAAGCTGTGCTCTAGCAGTGACCCGACAGGCTGACAGGGGTTCTGGGCTCACCCTGCACGGTGTAGGTCTTGCCCGAGTTGGTGACCCCATAGGTGTAGAGCAACCTGTTGTCGCCTCGCAGGACATCCCAGACGGCCTCCTTCATGGTGCCCTCGAAGAACTCCTGCTGTCCCATCTCGGGGCCGAAGATCTGCATGATAGGAAGGTCACGGCATCTCCTCAGCGAATATCAGCCCCCATAACGGTTACGAGCGACACTCAGCTCCAGGTGAAATGCACACTCTGTATCTGAGGGCCACCTGCTGATGTACTTATGAAAGGTATCAGCACAAGAAGATTAAATTTCACAAGAAATAAAGGTCTGCTTTTCCCTCCAGAATCTGCCACGGTACCTGAGCCCCTACCGCAACCCGACATGCAGTACCTGCGTGAAGGTGAAGCAGTGCTTGCTTTGGGAAACCCCTCTCTCCGAGCTCTTCATGTTAAAGGAGTCCCTCGGGGCTCTGAGAACCAACGTTTGCTTGTCTTGGACACAAACGCATCCCTGGGGGGGGGTGATGAGAATCTCAAAAAGCTTGTCGACACGGTAACAGAACAAAACGCCAGTGGATTCCCAAATGACCTACCTGTTCCTCTCCTCTTTCCCCCTCGCTTCCTATCAGAGGGCGAACACGTAAATACACCCGAACTCGATCCCTGCTGCCGTCATCCTGCGCACCGTCCTGTTTTACAGCGACAGGAATTTTACTACCAGCATAAGAGACATAGAAAGCAGCACATAACAGGACACTTTAAAACCTGTCTACACAGATATTTCAAAATGTCCCCTTTAAAACAATCACACAAACAGGGAATTTAAAAACATTTGTAAACAATTACTCCAAAGCAAATGCAGCAACTGCAATAGTTATAGCAAAAATAGTGTCAGCAGATGTCTTTAGTAATTATAAACACATTCATAATACTTCATGAATGCATTATAATGCATTATACACATGGCTAACTATTTATAAAAGGGCACAATACATTATAGCCGTTTATTATGCATTATGAATGCTTTATGAAGCTATTATCTAAAATGCACTACAGATACCTTCATAATGCATTACAAAGAATCCTTAATTCTTATTCTGACAATTATAATGGTATCTATAGTGCATAATGGACGAGAGCTTCATAGAGCATTCATAATGCGTAATACACATGGCTATAATGTGTTCTTCCTTTTTATAAATATCTATACCCATGTTTATAATGCTTTATGACTGCATTATTATTTGTTATGAATGTGTTTATGAATTACTGAAAACACGGCCTTAAGTAAAGTGTTGCCAAAAAAATCCATCCTGAATGAACAGCTATGGGGTTTTGCAGTGGCTTATTGCAGTGTTATGGTCTGGCAGGAGACAGTCTCTATTTGTCAAAAAAAAATCTGTAAACAATGAATAAAGTCCTGTCAGAGAAGAGTTTGCAAAAAAAATAAAAATAATATCGACACAGACAGACACACACACAACACAAGGGCCAAATCAGATGTGACACCACTTTAAGAAATAAAATCACCATGCCCTGTGGCTAGCCATAAAATACCGGGAATATAATCTTCTGTACGCTAGGGGTTCACAGTGGGCAAACCAGGAGATTTTGTATCACCTCTGCCTTTCGTGCTGAATTCTCCAGCCCAGGTGAGATGAATGAGACCTCAGGCAGGGCGGTCCCACCCTTCCGCGGCCCAACGTGCTCTGCGACATCCGCAGCCGTGGACTCCATGACGGTGGGTGTGGCCTCATCCTCGTCCGAGAGAGCAGCACAGGGTAACGCTAAGCATACTGCCATGGTGTCTAGAGGGGTACAGAAAGAGGAGTGAGAACATCCCCCTCCACGGTAATCAGGTGTGCAGCAGCCTACCCTGGGTGTAACCCTGCCCCATATGCTGCCCCCCCACCGAATGAGTGGGTTGTTAATCATAACAACAGATTTAAAGTAGTGAATGGGTAAAGTCTCTGTGGTTGTGATGGAAAGGTTGCTGGTTCAAATCCCACCCTTGACAGAACAATCACGTGTCCTTGAGTAGGGCCCGAAATAAAATGTTAGTTACCTGTTTTTTTATATATATATAAACGTCGTTGGTAACGCTCAGGCAAAATAAAGCGACTAAACGTTTACAAGTTTAATTTCTTTATTTCTGACTGGGTACATGAAACGGTGAGTACAAGTAGAAATCTCATGAGTACCATTCACAAGTATATATTGTTTATAGTTATATTATTTTCGTCACGTAATGGCAACGAAAAGCAATTCCGGGGCTCAGTGCTGTAATGTTAACATTCGTTGTTATTGCAACAAATCCGGTTTGATCGCACGTAAGTGAATGTGCGTCAAAGGCTTTATCCCTGGATGTGCGCTGGCAGGGACAGTCTGACTCATGTTAACATGGCGCTTTAAATTAGCTTCGCGCCACTCTCAAATCACATATCTACCAGGGATCGATTATATATTTTTGGGGTTTTATTAACAAACATACACCCGACCCCCATTTAAATCACTTAAGAATAAATTTTGCTTCTGCAAAATGAACTGAACAATAATTATTGGACAAAAGAAAAACACCAAGACACAATACATTTATACATAAGCAGCTAGAAATAGATTATAGAAGTATTACTGTGGTAAGGAAAGGGCAACATTTAAATTAAATGACAGCCAAATGATAAGGTCCGTGACCTGGCACGTTACCCATTTTTGGCTACTTTCCAGCGCAGCGTGTAGAAACATTTAGATTAGGAAAATCTTCTACATATGCAATATTCAGTCGTTAAGTGAAAAGACGCTCAGCAAACTGGAATAGCAGCTATTAACTAGCTGGTTAATTTTGTTACCCGACCAACGAGGTCAGTCAGTTAGTGAACGTTGGGTTTAGTTAAATTACCCAGGGTAATGGATTATGAGACGGATTAGCACAGCGAGCACCTGTACCCCTAGTTACTCACTTTCTTATTTTACCAAAGGCGTAGATCTTCACTTCTCGGATGAGAGGAAAAAAGAAAGGGCCATAAACCGCTTATTGACCACAATGTGACAACGCCGTGCGACATCCAGGTACGTCCGCTTTGAAGCGCTAGCTGGCCACCAAACAATTCAAAGATCGCTTCCGAATGGCGCAGCCAATCAGCGCCCAGAGTGCGCGTAGCTGCCACCAATCAGACTTGGAGCTGCTGGAAGGGGTGGGGACAAACAGGTACTACAAGTGGATATGTGGGAAAGACTCGGGTATTGGGAATATAATGACTACTACTTTTAACTTATACATAATATATCACTTTCTTTATTTATATATATCAAAATTACTAGTGAAAATTAGCCACCTGCATATTCTTACTGGTAACAAACCACGATTCATTGGATTACAGCACTGAGGTACGTGTGCAGTCCAGAATAATATTAGCAAATTAGTTTTTGGGGGATGCGCACAGCGTAAAATTTGGAGGATGCGGGCATCGATCCCGCTACCTCTCGCATGCTAAGCGAGCGCTCTACCAAACACAGACAGACTTTTGGTCAAAGATTGCTACGGACTAAGGTCAGTGGCGGAGCTAGACTTTTATTTAAGGGGTGGCCAAAGGGTGAGCAAGGTTTTCTCAGATGGGTCCATATAAATATGATAAATGAAGGAAAAAAATATTTAATTTATTTATTTAAATAGATAAATAATAAAACAACACTACAATTCAACATGTGCACTAAAACATACATACGTACAAAGACG